CAGCAGCCTCTGACACCCAAAGACCCTGCTAAAGACCCTGCTAAAGTCCCAAAGGTGAACAAACGCAGTTCTGGGAAGCCCCAGGAGTCCAGCAAGGAGGCAGCAAAGAGCAAGGACTCCCAGAAGCACAAGAAGAGCGGCGGGAAGCATGCCGAACAACCACACTTTGAAAAGGTAACGGGATATAAGCACCAATCGTTTGTGTTTAGCTTTCCCCCCCAAGGCAAGCCTCTGAACGATCTCATGGTTTTAGGGATTGTAACCAGTGAAAAATGCTCTCAATTTGTTTCCATGAAATGCTAAACCATTCAAATTGTAAACGTACATCTGCCCTTCAATCCTAGCAGAAGCCCCAAAAGAGCACCCCTGCTGTCCCATCATCTTCACAGACCCCCAGGGGAGCTTTGAGCAAAAGGCCCTTGCTCAGAGTTGAGGGGAGGTAAAAAATGATTTCTGTGGAGCTGCTAAGTTGTTCTAAACTACAGTTTTTCATTTGTCTGGACAATCTCCAAAAAATGTTTATGTCTTCAATTTCTATCGAAATATTTGGGTTAATTCAATCCCACATTTTCTCAAAAGGTATTACTGGAGTTTAAATTGTTAACATGTTTTGTAGTTAAACCAAATGTATATTCTTGTTTTGAAGGAAGTTGTTGCTACAGTATTAACAATTCATAATGATAAAACTTGTATTGTTTTTGAGGTGTTTAGTGTTGTTTGTTGATAAAGCTTTTTTCACCTACAGGCAGTATCCAGTGAAGCATTACATAAAAGAGGCCAAAAAGCTGAAGCACAAAGCAGACGTAGAGGTAAGTTATTTGTGTTTGTTATGAGGTTATTAACTCGTATTACTGCACATTTCTACCCGATGATACTAGGAACATATAACCAAACTGTATGTGTCTATCTCTGCAGTCAGATAAGCTGATCAAAGCTTTTAACTACCTGGATGCGGCCATGTTCTTTGTCGAAAGTGGTATTGCCATGGAGAAAGATCCACACATTTCAACGTCTTCCTACACTATGTTTGCAGAAACAGTGGAACTGCTCAAGTACGATAACATTTATCATTACCGTCTGCACTATTGATAACTTTCATTGATCCAATAAACAAACCTTTATATATTTATATGCTTCATTTTTACAGGTTTGTACTGAAACTTAGAAACTCAGTGGATGCCTCTGCTACTGCTGCAGAAAAAGACTTTTTTGCTTTATGGTGAGTTGTAGATTATACCTTTTGTGCTTTTAAATAGCTGCTTCACAAAATAGAATGTCTTATAAGAAGTACACAATATAACTGGTTAAATGTTTCTCCTCTTTAGCTTCATTTCTGTTTAAAGCTTTTTCACCATCTATTCTTGTCTAAATATTACATATGTGTAGTCATATTAAAGTCTGTCATAAATGTAATTAAGTCATAGAATGCCATACAGTATTATAAAAAAGCTGTAAATTCACAAGAATGTATAGTAAAGTGTGTTATATATATATATATATATATATATATATATATATATATATATATATATATATATATATATATATATATATATATATATATATATATATATATATATATATGGCATTAAGAAATCATTGTAATCGTAAAGTATAAAAACGTCATTGTATTGTTTGTCTTTACAATAACTGTATATGCAATAATGAATCGTGCACATTCTAAACAATGTATGAACATTGAATTGTGTCTTGCAGTTTGAAGTGCCAGTCCCTCTTGCAGATGACAATGTTTCGCCACAAACACAAAATTGCCCTCAAGTATTCGAAGACCCTCACCGACCACTTCAGTGTAAGTATTACATATTCATTTCTTATGCCATTGTAATTGTTTTGCAATTTAATTAGGTCATATCTAAATAAAACAAAATGTTATTACATGTTTGTACAGAGTTGGAAAAGTAGTCACTATGTAATTATAGTTATAATTTGGACATTTCAGAACTCAACAACTCACGATCCTCCTGTTTTAACACCAAAGTAAGTCGTCTACTTTGCATGGTACTTTCTCTTTTTAGGTGTAAGCTGTAATATGTAATCAAAAGTTCACATCAAAAGTTCACATCTTTTGACTGGTGTTTTTTCAGAGTCACACACACCCCGTCCTACATGCCCAACATGCCTTCTCCAGCCAACACGTCCAGCAGCTTTGGTCCCGGCTCCGGCCACAGCGGGTCGGGTGTGGACCCTGTGGGCAGCACTGTGACGGTTCCTCAGGCCATTGGACAAGTGGCATTCACCTACGTCAACATCACTACATTAGTTTTAAGCGCTCATGACATCTGGGACCAGGCGGAGGAACTGTCGCAGAAAGGCAGCGGTAAGAGTATACGAAAAACAGACTGTAAACATGAAAACATAAAGTAATAGTATGACTTTTTCCATATTTTTTAACAAACTACATTGTGATCTTTTGTCAAATGTTTCAACATGCTATACTACTTCTTGCTTTTTTTGACGTACTAAACTATGACTTTATTGGGATATTTTCTACATACTATGCTATGAATGCTTTTCATTATATTTTTAAGATATTTAAGATATTTTTAAGACTTTTTTTAAACAATATTTCCAAAATACAATACTATGACCCTTTTTGAAATACTATACTATGAATTCTCTTCAACATACTATTTTATCTTTTTTTATGAGATCCTACATTATGACTTTTCTTTCAAAAGATATTTGCGGCAAATTATGAAATTCTTCATAATTTTCGACAAAGTACAGTATGCTATAACTTTCTTTGACTTTCTTTTATTTCTCGACATACTATACTTCTTTTTTTTTTCCAACATATTACTATTACTTTATTTTCTAAATACTGTACTGTGACTTTTTTCTTAATTTTGACTTTTTTGTTTTCCAACATTTTCAATATGCTATATTATGACTTATTTTTCATATTCTATACAACACATTTTACTCCTGAAAAAAAATCTGTATAGCATCTTAATGAATTGTGATGTTTTGAATATCTCTGTATGTTTCAGGTTTGCTGACAGAGCTGGACTCAGTCATGGGTGCATTGAGCCTAACTTCCAGTATGAGCTCTGTGGTGCGCTACACCAGACAGGGCGTCCACTGGCTGAGGCTGGACAGCCAAAAGGTAACCTGACTATCCACCTGCTCTCGTCAAAGAGTACCTGCAAACCCTTTGTGCTGCCCCTCTCTACCTTTACCTCACCTCGCCTCAGTGTGTCACACTCTGAGCTGGACTATCCCTCAGGCTTGTGCCAGGCTTCTTTACTTCACATGGACGTTATCTCATCTCATGTGGTGTGTCCCTGAGAATACACCACTGATCAATGCACTTGTTATTTATTGTTTTCTCTCATGTCCGCTCGTGTCTCTCTTTCTCTCTGGCACTTTTATGAACATGTGTTACATCTGTGGTTATACACACACTTCATGGCTTGTACCCACGGTGTATCTTCCTGTTCTTCATCAGTTCATGCGTTTGAATCATCAATTTATTCAGGTGTGACCTTAACTACATTTGGATGGGAGCACATCGAATGTAACCAAAATTGCCGTTTGGTGGCAGCCCCAGCCTCATGCAAGTTCTGACACAAATCTTGTTTATGATCACAACTTTTGTCACTACAAGGCACTAAAACCATTGTTTAAATGTATCACAATTGTTATTGAATTTCTCTCAAAATGAGTCCGTTTGAATTCTGCATTGTATTTCCCCTACAAATCAGTGGGGATTAATACAGTATGAGTTTAATAAATTAATGAATACAGCGTGAGTGCTGTCCAAAACAAAGAGACATCTGAGCATGAATAATAAGGATTTGTATTATGATGGCTCAGGATCAGAAGTGGTTTGCCATCTTTCTCAGGCTGATTATGACAATTACTGACTAGTTGGTCAGTCCAAAGCAGGCTCGATTTTATTCTTGTCACCCAGGTAAAAGAATTGCACTTGTGCCCACTAATGTAAGTTATACAAACATTAGGTACGGTAAACAATGCAAGAACAAAAAAAGGGGCAATCATTTTACATATTGGATTTTTTTAGTTCTAGTGTTGGAAGTAGTGGTTGATATTAGCCGAGTTTGAGTTACCTTTCAAGTATAGTGGGACTGCCACATTGTTCAACAGATGAAACGACAGTAGTGTTCCCTTTATTTGTTTTTGCACCAGGAAGCTGCTTTTCTCTGTTTCCCACACGTTTGTTGATTAGCAAATGTTGAGTTTCAATATGTTTACTAAATGTGTGCGAGTAGAATAAAAGGCCAAACTATAGCTTACTACAGAATGCACTTTGTTGAGTATTTGTTGTTAATTTCAGAGCGTTATTGGACATAAGAACAACTTGATCCCAAAGACTGGCAGGACTGTGCTAGTCTTTACTTTAGTTTATTGTAACTTTGATTCTAAAAAAATAAAGCTTGAGTTTTGTTGGTTCAAATTTTTATTGAGGTGGTGTTGTTATGACAATTTAAAATGGATACTAAAATAATCAGTATGAAATGGTGGAGTAAAAGAAACATTGCTTTTGATTAACACATTTTGAAACGTTTTGCAGTTAATTGAGTTTGTATGTCTGTGTGCAATTACACATCAAAAAGGGCTAACACGAGGATCACAAAGTGTTCATGAATTTACATTGTTGCATAAAGTGTAGCGACATTTATTTTAAATACGGAGCAAGGTCACTGGTGCCGTGGCATTTGGGATTATTTGATGTATCGATCATCAGCAGGATGCAGGAGAAATGATCTCGAGTGTTTCTTACTGCAGATGTCTACACTGCACAGAAGCATTTCAGATGTTTTCATGTCTTTTCCAACCTGTGGCTTTCCTTCCATCATCTTCGATTGTTTATGAATTACTCTGCAACAGTTTACACTTCTTGTCCAAATAATTATTTACTGAGAAATTGTTCAGAAAAGGTTTTGAAGGATGCTTTCCCTTTTTTGTAAAATATGTAAAACATTTTTTTTGCAGAGATGAATAAACACTGGAAATCATTTTTGTTAACTTATCATTTATTACTGCTTACTCTTATTTTCAGAAAGAAAACAAGATTACACAATTTGGTTGTAAAGGTCAGTAAATAACTCCTGAACAGTCAATTGCATATGGAAAATTACTGAATTATTGTAGACATAACAACAGCTGAGCACGGAAAATGTAAGTGCAACATAGGAAAACAAAGTTTTAATATCTTGAGTATATTGCAATATATATACTGTACAAATGAGGTGAATCCTATTGCATTCTTTATACTGAAAAGGGACATTATCAGTGATTTGTTTACAAAAACATGGAATTTCAATGAACTGTACAAAACATAAATGATGGTTTATGTGTCCGATTCTCCACCGAAGTTGGGGTTGGTAAAAGCAGGCTGCAACAAAAGAAAGACACAACTTCCTTTTTACACTTTCACAAAAACATAACAAAATATCATTAGGAAATGACAAATGTGTCAAAGTCACAGTAAAGTATGTCGGACAATTTGAAAAAAAAGTCATAGTATGTCGAAAAAAGAAATTAATATTATAATGTAACAAACATTTTCGTAAATAGGTCATAGGTATGTAAAAAAAAAAAGTCATAGTATGTCAGAAAAAGAAAAGTCGTAGTTTAGTATGTCGCAAAAAAGGTTTTTGTATAATATGTCGGAACATTTAAAAGAAAGTCGAAAAAAGTCATGGTATCAAGTATCAAAAATAAAAAAGTAATAGTAGGCTATAGTGTGTCGAAAAAAGAAATTCATAGTATGTCGAATAAAAAAGGAATAGTATAGTATGACGAAAAGTCATAGTATTGTATGTTGAAAAAGTGGTAGTATAATATGTAGATAGTTTAGTAAGTTGGAAAATTAGAAAAAAAGTAATAGATAAAATATGAAAAAAAAGTCCTAGATAATTAACAACTCACCACATCAACGGTAGCGGTTGTTCTTGTTGGCAGACTCAAGCCGCTCAGTTTAACCCCTCTCACACTGAAGACATAGAACAGCACTCCAGCGATCAAGCTGCAGAACAGAATGGCTCCAATAACAGCGCCCACTATAACCCCTGCATCTGGACAAAGAGATACAGCAGATGTTACAGCCTTTAAGTTACTCTAAATGATTTAAAAACAACACGAACAAAATAATGTTTGGCACTTTGTTGCACTTACTGTTGCCTCCTGGACCATCAGTGGGGAAAACTGGATTCCCGCCATCATCTGTTGTATAGTCTGAAAATATGGTTAAACACAGACCAGCTGTTAACATGTTGCTTATTATATCTTAGTAAGTATTAATTTACCACATTTTCTTTCTCTGTTTTAAGAACCCAAGTGAAAGCTTTAACAGTCCGCCTTCACACCTCTGAATGCTATTGAGGCTAAAAGAGGCAAGTGAGAAAATCAAATCTGATATTTTTTTTTAAGTCTGAGTTAAATGGTTTTCTCAGCTGTGTTTACGATATGAAGACCGGTTATACAACATAGGTTTTGCCAGGCTAATCTTTAAGTTCCTTAATTATTTTTTTTGTTGTTGACAGGATAATTTTATGTTTTTCAGTGAAATACAAATGTTGGTCGCAAGAGGCTGATATGCACCTCTACCTTTGTTCTAAATGGGAATAAAGCATTCATGTTTTCTTCCAGCTGAGCTTTAATTTTACTCACGGATCACTTTTTTACTTGTTCTTAAATCATCATAACAGGAGAGAAAACAGCTTTGATCCAAGTGTTTTGAACTTGCCTTTCCGGGCCTCCTTAGTATTCCACCCAAATGTCGAAAGAAATAATGTAAAAACACAAATCCTTACATTGGCGATGGCGGCATGCAAAGCCTCTCTTTTGCAGACAGTTGTTGTCATTCCAGTTTCCGTCTTGGAACATCTCCACACAGTTCTCCTCTGCCACCTCCCCAGGGTGGAAGGCTGCATTCGGCTCACCAGCAGCCCAGTTTAGGAAGCCCAGAGACGTCTTATCCGTCCAGCCCCAGCCGACTAGAAAAGCAAGGTTTCAGGTTAGTGCACGTATATCTGTATATCTCACATATAATAAAAGCTCAGGTTCAAGTAGTATGAAAGACACATTTGTATGGTTTCGACACTCACAGTTGCGGTCCCTAGTGAGGCCGATCCATATGTTGTGATACTTGGTGTGATTGAGGTTCCTGATGAACTCCACCTCCGCTCTGCTGTGGAGCGACAGCAGGTCTGCCTTGGCGGCCTGGCAGTAGTGCAGGGAGTCCGGCCAGGAGAAACCCTGCTGCTGGTTGTACACAAAGTAACAGTAGCGGCCATACGGTATCCAGTAGGGCAGACACTTCCCATCACCAGGGGCAGGGGTCGGCGGCGGTTTCTCTGTGAGGAGATATAAGTTACATCATCAAGGCTACAAGTTTTAGACTCTAAATGACGGTTTTAATTTGATAGAGAGACTAGAGAAAAAAAGTAGGAACAAACCTGGGGAGATCTTGCAGACGTAGGGTTTAGCTTGGTCACACTTGGTGTCGTTCCAGGTCCCGTGGAACGCACGAGAAGCATGCATGCTCACGCAGCCCTCGTCCTTTATATTGCTGGGTTCTCCTGGTCCCCACTGAGTGAAGAAAACTGGCCAGTCATCTGTCCACATGTAGGAGCCGTCGTCCTGCAAGGAAATATAAGCTCCGGTTAAATAGTTAACGTTTCAAGTTACTCAGACTAATTCGTTATAGATATTTTCCAAATTGTCGGTACACCAAATGAAGATATTTTTTAATAACTTCAACGTCCTATAAGGCCAAATGAGTCACTGTTGGCTAAAAAGTTAAGATTAGAAAAAGTTGGGAACCAAAGGATTAAATAACCTGGAAGAAGTTAATACTAGCTCCATCAGCTAAAACATGTTGAGTGAAAAACTCAAGGATATGTTTAAGATAGCTTATTTCTTATTTGTACACAGATGGTTATGAAACCACATTTGTAGGTCCTTAATGAGTTTTTAATTTCCAGGTAGTTCAGGCAACAACATGGTGTGTTTCCTCCCTGTCAGCACCTTGCGCCTGAGTCCGATCCAGGCGTCGGCTCGGCCCTGCAGGACGGCCCCGGCCACGAAGGCCTGGTCGTAGCTCATGTCGATGCTGGCCAGGTTCCCTCCCTCGTCCTGGCAGGCCGCCTGAGCCGCGTCCCAGGTGGCCGGCTCCTCCACCAGCCTGTAGCAGTTCAGATACCAGGAGGTGTAGCCAGTGGGGCAGGGGGCCTTGGTCGGGGGTGGAGGGTTGATGCTGCTCGCTGATGTGGAAGCAGATACATAAAAGTCTTTGAGTAAGGACTGAACTGAGATTTCTAGCTCCTAAATGTTTTCTACGTAAACCCTTTGGAGTAACATGGTAGAAAAACAGTTTTATGTGGCAATCTGTGCACACATAAAGCTTAAATAGGCATACATGTTGCCAGTCTGAATGATTAAGGCCAATGCAATGCAATACAAAGAAACATGTATGACTAATGGAGTATTTATTGTTATATTGTATAATTGTTACTTTTATTTAAATGGAGGATCTACGTTTTTCATCCACTACTGAAAACAGTCCAGGATATCAACCCGTATTATTAAAGCCAATACACTGCATGATAGAACATTTCTCCCTGTAGGAATATTACAGTAGCATGATCAAATGAAAATGCCCTAAAGTACAGTAAGATCCGTGTGAATGAACTATTCACTTCCACAGCCTCATATGTTCTCTAGAGAAATATTGTGCACTGACACGGCAGATAAAATGCCACAAAGTACAGTAAGGTTAAAAGAAAAATACATAAAAATATATATAATTGAATTCAAAACTTGTGCACGGATTGTAAAACCGCATTTTTTTAAATGTAATTCCTGTTTCTATAAGCAAATAAATCTTATCCAAGCAAAAAAAAAAGGAAATTGGGAGTGTTGACTGACATTTCTTCCTGGAGCAGACGAAGCTGTGATCCCTGTGACAGGCGTCATCGTTCCACCTGCCGGTCACCAGGTGGTTGTGAGAAATCGCCACACAGTGTTCCTGTTGAGAAGGACAAGAAAGCTTCAAGCTATCTATCTATATACATTAGAGGATGTTTTAGTCCTGCTTACAAAGATTGAAAATGTATCCCACTGGCTTTGCACCGATTATAAATAACTTCCTCACCGCTCCTCCTGCGTTGTTGGGCTCCTTGTCGTTCCAATTGGTGTACAGCACCGGGCTGACCCCATCACTCCAGGCGTACTGATTCTCCAACAAGAGATCTGACAAGCCGATCCACGTGGGAAGCTTGAGGTCCCTCAGGTAGCTGGAAACAAAGTCTGGAGGAGAGGAGAGAGTATAAATACAGAGAGCAGTCCCTTAGACCTGTTTCCTCCTCAAAGATCCAGCTTACCGTTCTCGTACTGGTCATCGATAACGGCCAGATCTCCTCCCTGCTCTTTGCACCAGCTGCGAGCGAAAGACCAGTTGGCCTTAATGTCACCCGTCTTCCCTTTGAACATGAAGCACTTGTCTTTGAAACGCATCCAACCTGAGGTGAAGAAACAGAATCAAGTTACATCAGGTTTCACAGATCATTTCAGGATGTATAATCAGCTTTGTGCATGTAAAATGACTTTTGATTCAATAACATTATTACGGGATGTATAATAATGATCAATGTGTAAGGAAGGCAGGCAGCTCCAACAACAACAGACACCAATTGAATTTGTTTTGCTCACGTCTGGATATCAGCACATGACTTCAGAATTCACTATATTGATCAAATCCTCCATAAGGAGTTATCTCATTTAAAAGTGTAATAAAGTATTAAACACTTGGAACACGGTAATAAAGAGATACAAAGTAGGAAAACAGACAAAGCTTTTGAGATGGATAACAAATGATAATAAATTCCAGCCGGGAAAAGAAGATACAGGTTTTAAAGCGATGGGCCCGAGGGGGCATCACAGCAATATGTAGGATGGTGGGAAAAGGGGAAATGCAGAGTTTTCTATATCTAAGAGATACGTTTGATCTGGAAAGGGGTGACCTCTAGATACTTACAGGTGAGAGATTATTATATAAAAGAAATAAAAATGGATAAAACCACTAAACAAAATGGGGTAATTAAGGTAATGATTGAAACATATGAAGGGAAGAAAGGTAGGGGGAATTCAACTCTATATCAAGCTCTGTTGGAGAGTAGGGGTAATTCAACTCTATATCAAGCTCTGTTGGAGAGTAGGGGTAATTCAACTCTATATCAAGCTCTGTTGGAGAGTATGGGGAATTCAACTCTATATATAAAAGAAAAGTGGGAGAAAGAACTCGGGATTGATATGACAGAGGAAGAATGGTATAATGTATGTAGAGTGCAGCAGTCAACTACTGGGTCAAGGGGGTATGGAGGGGATTTGTCTGGAAGAACATAATCAGATACTTCATAACCCCAAAGATGAAAGGGAGGTATGCCCCGGAACAGAACGCATGTTGGAGGCAATGCGGCGAGGTGGGGGCAGACCACACACACATTGTTTTGAAATGCCAAAAGATGAAGGGATACTGGGAGGAAGTATGGGGAGTATTGAAGGGGATATTAGGTTATGAGGTTCCTAAGACCGGCCTGATGTTATACTTGGGGAATCTGGTAGAGGAAAAGATACTCACAGGGTGGGGACAGATACCTGATTAAGGTGCTGCTGGCTGCCAGCAAGAAAACAATTACCAGAGCATGGTATAGCAGCGGATCCACCTACGAAGGAGCAATGGCTGGGAGTGTACAGGAAATATTTGATATGGAAAGATTCACACAGGAAGGGAAATTTGAGTCCAAATGGGTTGAATATAAAAGAAAAATGAACGACGCCACAAATTGAGAGTTGGAACCAGACCATGATGTTGCATTAAAATAGGATAGAAAGCTTCCATGTCACTGTTGTTGTTTGCTTGTTTTTATTATTATTTTTATTTGTAATTCAAATGTATACTGAACTATATGTGGTTTTGTATGTTTATAAAAATGTAAGTGAAAAAAAGAAAAGTGTAATAAAGTATATTTCTAAAATATTGGTTGAAGAACAGGTTGTATTCTGTAGTATGTCATAACAAAAGTAAAGCTGTAATATATTGTAAAAGAGTTATAAAGTCAGTAAATTATGTTAAAACATTGTCATTAAAGTCAAAGTATAATATATGCCATTAAATCATCAGCTAATTATAGGTGCTCAGGTTGTTTTACAAAACAAATGCTCTATTATTTAGAACTCATATTTTTACTTTGAGATACATTCAGGTGGTAATAATAATTTCAAACGCAACAACTTGTAACTGAGTATTTTGTTTACACTGTGGCACTGTGTTATTATTATTTGCTGTTGTCCTCCATCACAGAGTGTGTGTTACCTTCAGGGCAGTTGCCCTCCCAGGGCTGTGTGGGTGGAGGGGGGGTGTGGATATCTCCAGGGAACTTCTTACAGACGTAGCCTGCTCCGGCCCGACCACAGTTTGCATCGTTCCAGCCACCTTAACAAGAATGAGATCAAATGATTAATAACAATAAATACACAGATCTATAATGTGACATTCAGCCAATGAATTGAGCTTTTTACCTTGAAGTCGGTTCATGTGAACACACTGCTCCTCCCCGTTGGCATTGTTGGGCTCACCTGGACTCCAGTGAGTGTAAGTGAGAGGGGAGAAGTCCACCCACCTGTGCAGATCACACAAAGAAACCTTGGTTTTGACCTTTTGCACTTAATAGAGAGAAGGTCCTCTCTAATGGAAAAAATGGGTCTCTCCTTTTTTCATTTAAATTATTTTTCTTTTATCTAAATTGAAAAACACTCTTTTTTTTTGCTTTATATTATTACATTGTAAAAAGCTGAGAAGGTGGATCAATCTGTAAAAGTATCTAAACCTAGCTGTAGTTAATTGTGAAATAAAGGGGTAAGAATAGTAAAGATAAAATAACACATACATGTATTGTCCACCTGTGATGCCAAACATCCTCATCCCAATCCAAGCTGAAGCCACCTGGCCGGTCCCCACCTTGAAAACAAGAACATCGTGTCCCAAACACATTTCACTGAGACATATCACAACATGTTCTGAGCAAGAGACGCACCATGGTGTTGACGTAAGCCTGTTCGTCTTTGTTGAGGATGGAGACGAGCGAGGCCTTCTCTTCGTAGCAGCGTCTCATGGCCGTGTGGAAGTCAACAATGTCGGTGTCGTTGTAGTAGTAGCAGATGTTGTTGTTCTTCCTCCAACCGGGGTTAGCGCCACAATCAGGAGCTGAGGACGGAGATGGAGATAATGTGCTCATAACAAAAAGCCTAACACATGGAGTGGAGATTTCTGACACTTACTAATCTTTGCCATTTTTCAATATTGAGAGGTGAGGTTCACTCTCTACTGAAGTTCCTATAAAATGGGTGGTGTTGCATTTTGGGATTGCGAGCAGTAAGTAGTGTCACATGCATGAAACTACATTTTAAATATATATAGTCTCAGCTCTCTGGCATTTAAAATAAAGCAAACACACAACTATATGAATACCACAATAACCTCCACCTCTGCTGCTGTTTAACCATAATTGTAATTTTCTCAACAACAAAGTATTTAGTTATTCCATTATATATATTAATCAACCAGCCTTGATTTAAAGTGGCAGACAGTCTGAAATTAAACACATCTCTTTCTATAGAAATGTTGCCAAACATGCCGTATCAATGGTTTAGTTTCTACCTAGCCTTCTCAGCTGTAAATGAACACCAGGATAAAACCTTGTCAGTACAGGAAGCACGGTGCATTGTGGGAACAGTTTACCTGGGACTGGAGGTGGGGGCACAGGGGGCAGGATGGGGTTCTTTCCTTTAGCAATCATGCATATCCAGTCCTGGTGGGCGTCACAGTTCAGATCGTTCCATTCAGAGAAGGTCCCGTTGGTGCTGCTCACCATCTCCACACACTCCTCACGGCCCTCGTGGTTGTTGGGCTCCCCGTGACCCCAGTTAGTGTGTGAGAGAGGTGTGCCGTCGCTCCAAGAATAACCTACACGATAGGAATAGTCATGAGTGTATTCTTTATCTGTACCCCAATTATCTTCAGCTCTGTAAAACACACACTACACACACACCTCCTTCTGCTGGGTTGTGCTTGAGGCCGATCCACTTGCTGGTGCCTTTGCTGTACAGAGCCAGGAACTCCTCCTCCTCCTGGGTGTGAATGCTCACCAGGTTAGCTCCTCTGGAGACGCAGTCCTCCAGAGCGGCTCCCCAGCTCTTCTTCATGGACCAGTCCACATTGTGGAAGAGCTGCAACAAATCAGACGATATTATAACCCGTGCTGACCAGAGGAGGAAGAAGTATTCTGCTACTATAAGTCAAATATAAAAGTATTGATATGTTGTAAAATGTTCCCTGTCAGTGTTTTACTTCTATTTATAATAAAATAATATAATATTCTACTCCCGAACATGTGTTGATGTTTCCTAATACAGCTGTAGATGTTTAAGGTTGTCCTTATTTTAACTCCTTTATACACAGTTGTTAAATCTACTAAATGCATCATATTATAAAACATCCTTCAGGTAATCACAAACATTTCAATTCAACTCATCAGGAGAAACATGGTTTGCACTGGACAGATACGGATGGAAAACTGTCAAATGTTTGGTAACTTAAGATTTTAAATAAATGTAGAGAACATTTCCCTTTGAGATGTTGTGGAGTAGAAGAAGAAAGTACCATCAAAAAATACTAATGTCAAAATGTGGAACTTCTAATTTGTACCTAAGGGCAATACTTGAGTTAATGTGCTTAGTTGCTTTTCCCCACTAGCCGACCTAATGACCTTGCAGATAACCTGGTTGTTTATTCCACTGCCTTCTTTACCTTGAAACAGTTTCTGAAGTGGGGCAGGGCGGTCCAGCTTGTGGCACAGCCCTGAGAAGGAGGGAAAGTCGGGGCCTTGGTGGGGGGGGTGATGTCGGGCCGGGGTTTCTCACAGACGAAGGCGTGTTTCTCCAAGCACTCCTTATCATCCCAGAAACCACCAATCGGACCCGTTGTCATGGCCACACAGGTGCCATCCCCGCTATCTACAGACAAAATGGACATTGGTGTTTTCTTCCAATGGGTATAATGGTATAGGGGAATTCTTTTGATATCTGCATGTGTTAGTGTCTGTACCTGGCTGATCTTTGTCCCAGTGGGTGAAGGACAGAAGTGCCCCGTTGTCCCAGATGTAGTCGACCCCCCCACTCGAGCCTCCTCGAGCACGCAGGCCAATCCACCAGAAACCAGTCTTACCTGACAACGCCACTGTGAAATGTGACTGCTCATAACTGCAGAGAAACACACAGAGACGATGCATTCAAACTCCTGCCAACCAGGTTGTTACAACATGACAAATGCTGAATCTGCCACTATTATCAATTCATTGTTTCATTTCTCTTTTATTTCCTTATTTATGCAGTCTTGTGCAGAGATGGCGAAAGTACACACATCCTTTACTCAAGTAGAAGTACAGATACTTGTGTTTAAAAATACTCTGGTAAAAGTAGAAGTACTGACTAAACTTCTTTACTCAAGTAAAAGTAAAGAAGTATGGGCTTTGAAATGTACTTAAGTAAAAAGTACCCATAACTACCATCTGTTTTAAAGAGTACCTGACCTCCCTTTATATTAATAGAACAATAATGTCGGCAACATGACAACGTTCTCATTGGTCCCTCTTCTTTAGAGAAGACCAGGAAATGATGGATACACGGGTCGTGTTCAAATCAATAGGCACGCAATGACTCTAAATAATAATGATCACGCAACCAAACACACATTCAAACTAAAGTAACGAACCTGTTTTGAAAATGTAAGAAGTAGAAAGTACAGGTATTTGTGTTAAAAATTTAAGAAGTAAAAGTAAAAAGTCGTTGTGGAGTAAAGTACTGATACCAGAAAATGTACTTAAGTACAGTAACGAAGTATTTGCACTCCACTACTTCCCACCTCTGGTCAGGCACTTCAGCCTCTTTGGGCCAAAATGAGTATTACATGAATACAACTTTGCTTTTTATAAAATAAAAATCACAATGCCAATTTTCTTTTTCATCCGTGGAAAAATATTTTCGGGGGGGGGGGGGTTTCTTCACCAAACTCTCTTTTCCCACTTTTATCACAGACTAGTTTTGTGATACTGACTTGGAAAATGGATCACCAGAATAATTGTTTCTCTCTTGCCTTTCAGTCAGGTAGTTCATTCAGAATAAATCATAAAGAAACTGACCTCATTATTCAAAAGCTGTACACTATCAAATGATTGCAAACATTTGTATCCAAAAGGTACAATGTGTTGGGGGTAATAAAAGAAAGGTGATAACAAGCAGTCCCTCACATGTCTCCGATGTGCAGCACGAAGCTGTCCTGCTCCTCACAGAAAGCCTTGGCCTCCGCCCAGGTCCTGCCCGTCTCCTCCATCCAGTAGCAGGCGTAGCCGTACGAATCCCAGCCCTGACACATGTTACAGAGGAGATTATCTCTTTACTCAACACACGAGAAGATAGATTCAAGATTCTTATCAAATGTATGGCTTGTTTCCCCCACCTGAGGGCATCCGTACACAGTGGGTTTCACAGAGGGCAGTGGGTAGTGTGCTTTGGGCGTTTTGCATATGTAGGTATTGAGCTCGGCGCAGGACACGTCATTCCATCGTCCGGTCTGAAACAGAAAGGACATTTACATCAAAATTCCCTGCAAAGAATGATTAAGCACTTTGATCAAGTAGTGCCTTTGCAAGTATGACATGTTGTTACTGGTGTGTACCTGGTATAACATCTCCACACAGTCCTCATGGAACCCGTCGTGGGTGTTGGGCTCCCCCGGGGCCCAGTAAGTGAAGGTCACCATGTGTTCGTCAGACCAGGTGAACATCCCGGGCACAACCAGGTCAGTCAGACCCGTCCACACGTCACTGGTGGCTGCATAAACCAACCCAGAACAAAATTCAATTAGCTTTTTACCATATGTTGTTTTTTTAAGCGTACCAAAGTTCACAAGATCACAGTGTCAAAAAAGAATAATGTCACCTCAACCTTTACCTACAATTTTCTGTCACTTTCATCATTCTCTTGCAATATCTGATATCTTTTTGTACTTGCACTGATTTTATTTATTTTTAAGTGCATTGTATGTTGCATTAATGGAGGATCCTGGGTCTTAACTTTGACCTGCACACATACATGTAAATATATTTAACAATCCGGACTCAGATATGTATATGTGTTCATTTAATTCATTTCTTGTTTTAACAGCTACTTACCTGTATATCATTTAAATTGTATCTGTAATTGTATTAATCTTGTCTGAATCTGTACTGTACTTTCACACTTACTCTGTTGCTGCTTAAACTCCTGAATTTCCCCACAGGAATTAATAAAGTTCTATCTTATCTTATCTTATCCTAAGATTTTCATTTCCAACACTATGGTGTAGCTTATCTGCATGTGACAATACCCATGATAGATAGATACATACCCATGTACAGGTAGCTTTCCAGCCAGCTCTGCTCCGTCATGGAGAGGATGGAAACGAGTTCAGCACCCATCGCCCTGCAAGTCCTCTGGGCATCGTGCCAAGTCTTTTTGTCTTCAAACGGTTTGTAGCAGAAATCTCCAAACTCATACCAGTCGGGCCCTGAACACCTCAGCTCTGAAGGACAGAGTTTAAAATCAGTGCAATCAATTAATTGAAAAAAGACATAAAAACCAGCACACATATCAAATGTTATCTTATAAAACAAAAAAGTGTTTGCTTAGAGATTTGTTTAAGGGATGATTCCAAGTAGCTCACCCCCATCTGCAAAAGTGTATGACACAGCGTAGTTCCCATCGTATCTGTAGAAAAGAATGTGAATTAGCCTCCAAGGAAAGTTACACTATAAAAGGAAAAAGGGATTTATTTGATACTCTGCTGCTTACTGTAGAGAGGTGATGCCGTTCCGGGTGGAGCCGGCGTAGAAGTTTTGTCCTGGAGCTTTCAGCAGAGTGCAGTCCCCTCCATTCTCATTCAACACCACTCCAACATGGATAGCAGCAGCACAGATGTTGGAGTCCTGTTAGAGGAGACACAGCAGAGAGAGAATTATATATTTAATAAGAAATATATACTTTATAAAGTAGAGAAGTTGTGATAAGAAATACGCTCATACCCCACGATATACTGAAGTGCCGTACACTCTGTGGTAAGTGTTGGAACAGCGCGCTGGACAACTGACACTGAAAGATACACGAGAATCAGTTGTGTGTATGAAAAAAAGTCGCATAGATTTGCAGAATACAAATGTTGGGTTAAATATGCAATATTTTTATTTTTGGTGTAAACATCTCAAGTCTCACTCACGTCATTTTATCGTTGGCAAAGTTGAAGTTGGGCCTACTGGCGCAGCTGACTGCATCTGTTGAACAACAACGTTTCATCATTGACCATCAGATTTCTTGTGACAGTATCACAGCAGGCTTGGACCAATAGTAAACTGTATTTTTGGACATTTGTAAGTAGATTTGTAAACTGTAATGTAAGAGTAAACTAATGTTCTTACAGTCGGGGGTGCATCCTAAGACGTCGAAGCGCAGGCCGGCCTGCCCGTTGAACTCCAGCAGGAGGACGCGGATGTACTGAGTCGTCACAGGGGTCCCCAGCAGCTGAGTGACAGGACTGTTTTTGTCCGTCGATCCTGGGAAAGACTGAAAATCAAAGGAATATAGAATGAAAACAAGTTCTTCAGCTGGGGCTCTACAATCTTTAAAAATCACCTCTTCTTATTATTTAAAGAGAGAGAACGGAGGGGATGTTAAGTCCCTTTTCTTCTGAATTGTCTCCTGAGCTAAGTTGACCCATAAAAAGTAAATCAAAAACTGTCTTTTTGCATCAGCCGTCAGCCTCACTTAGTCTGGCCTAATAATAATGTTCTGAGGTAATCCAATTTATACTGAGTATGATAAATGTATGTACACATCTTTGACATATATTTGTGTTTCATTTGGGTACTTTTTTGTGTATTTAGCTAATGCTTTTCACACTTATTTATCAATTGTATGTTTGTAATACTTTGTATGAAGTTTATCTCACTTGTTTAACTTATGTTGGTGTCTCTGCTCACTCACCTGCCCGTCCGCAGTGTAGTCAGTCCAGATTGTTCCGTCCATGCTGTGCTGGATCTTAAACTTGGTGATCCAGTGTTCATTTTGAGGACAACCCTGGATTACTACTCCTGTCACTTTTCTAGTTTGGCCCAGATTTGCCTGGATCCAGCTTGAGGTTGCTGAGGAAGACATGAGGACACCAATTCAACATTGAAACAAGATGAAACTCTGCCTTTAAGAATATATTGAAATCTCATGTTGTATGTGTGACTGCTGGTTTGATACGCACAGGTTCCTGAAGGCATCCAGCAGGAGTTTCCATTCAAGCGGGCCTTGTTGGGGGTGTAGAAACCGATGGAGGAGGAAGCAGAGAGCTGGGAGTCCGTGATGTTCCCGTCCTCCACACCCAGGCCGTGCAGACACACTGAGCAGCCAATCACAAAACAACACATTAGCCTTCAAATTCAATTTCAAATGAACACATTTAAACATTATGTTGGGGGTTCCAGATAGAAATAGCCCCAAATAATGAATTCAATTGTTCTGTAGGCTAAAATAATGATGTATTAAGCTCAATGAAGAACTACTGATTTTAAGTTTTCCCAAGAAGAGTACATTGCAAACCCAATTTCTATTGGATACAATATTTTGGATATATAATTTACATTGCTACAATACAGTACGAAGTCGAAAAACACGAAAATAAATGGGACAAAACATTGTTTAGGTAAAAATGGGTCTAAATACAACAATACATATGAAAATGATGGTTTCTAAATGTTTCTAAAAGATTTAATTTGTTTTTCTTTTAATTCTTATCTGTTATCTCTTATGGAAAGTATCATGTGATCATATTTTCATCATTGTTATATATATATATATGTTTGCCCCTATTGAATAAATAAAAATAAATTAGCCCTAAGATGATTGTAAATAATTCCAGGGCATTATTTAATTTCCAGGAGAGATTTTAAATCAATCACAGGAGGAAAAGCAAAGCCCACCTTTTTGTTCACAGCTGTAGACGATCTCAAGGTATTTGGAAACGGTCGGGCAGGGGTCCTCCTCGGTATGGGCGTACAGAAAGCAGAAGGGATGGTTGTCACACCTCTTCCTAAAGTAAGGGAGGATACCATCCACTGTGCAGCTTCCTGCAGGACAATGACCATCGTCATGGTTAAGCATGGATCCATATTTACATCACATTTATGATTTAGAGAACAATAGCCAGTCAAAAGGCAATGATACACATTGACAGAGAGACTACAGCACCTCCTGATCCCTCCAGATGTGGACAGATGTCGGCACTCTTTCGTCCATAGAAGGCAGACTGGATGTTAATCACACTTTCAGTCGGACAGTGGAGGACAGCGGAGGAGTCCTGGCACACCAGAGCCGTCATGAAGCCTGCAGCAGGAAGGATTTGGACATCAACTTTAATCTTTACAACAAATTCATCGCCGCTTCAGGTCCATTTGTTGTTGTTTCAATAAGAAATGATGCAGATATCCATATCAATGATGAGGTTTTGTTACCATCATGAGGAGGAGGAGGCTCAGGTGTGTTCCCTGAAAGAGAGAAAGATGAGTATAGTGTTAGAAACCTGTATCAACACTCAGTCTTCTGTTAACAGTTATAGCACCACATGTCACCTCTGCGTTTGCAGATATATCCTCTTTTGCTGTCACAGTTGTCGTCGTTCCAGTAGCCGTTGTTAATGAGGATAGAAAGGCAGTCTTCACCGTAATAGTCGTCAGGGTTACCTGTGAGGAATAATGAGGCGAAGAAAGGGAAATCAGTTGTCTTGAAATAATAATGATAAAATATTTTGATCACACAGCACTGTTTAATTATATCTTGTTTTTATTTGTATTCTCTCGGCTTTCCAATCACTTTTTTAAAATGTACTTAAAGGTGGGGTAGGTAAGTTTGAGAAACCGGCTCGAGATACACTTTTTGTTATATTCCATGGAATGCTCTTAACATCCCGATAGCAATGAATATCTTAAGTGCTTTGACAAAAAATCCATAAAAAAATGTCATCTGTGGAAGCTGTAGTACTGTAAAAAGCACGACCAATCATTTTAGCCGGCCCGGCTAAAATAACTGGATGGCCTACCTGCCTGTCAGCCTTCCATCTGTGCACAAACTTATCTCGTGCCCTCATTGGTCATGTGCACGTTCGTGTGTGTTGGAGGAGGGGCTCTATAAGGAAGTGGCAGATTTTCTCCGGTTGTTTTATTTTCAAATTCTAGCGCACTCGAGCTGGTTTCTCAAACGTACCTACCCTACCTTTAAGTGTCATTACATAATGTGTTTCTTTGCATGTCTTAATGCTTTGATGTTTTTTGTAAAGCCCTTCGAGTTGCCTGAAATGTCCTACGAAAATATACTTGCCTGACATTTTGATATGTTATTAGACCTAAAACGAACCTGCGCTCCAGCGGATGTATCTGAAGGGAGCTCCATCCATCCACTCCCAGCCGCCCTCAGTGACCGAGTCGTGGCCGCCCATCCACAGAGAGATCCCAATGGGACTCACCTGGATCACACCTGAGAGGAAAACACCAATCAAATTAGAGTGAGAGACAAGCTTAATGCAAGTGTAGTCTACCAGAGGAAGTTTGCTCTGTAAGAAGGTTTGCACTTTTTGGTGTGGATGCTTATTATCCAGCACATAATATATTCTTAATAGATGATTGAGAGAAATGACACTGTTGCCCATAAAGTTGGAATAATTGTATTTTCAGACACATTCCTCTTTTTATTCCTATTTACACACACAATCATTTCATGAGAAGAGATACTCAATATTTTTATTCCAACATTATAGGCGTCAGTGTATTTTATGATTCTATGATTTAGTTTAGGTTAATCCTAAATTTGCCATAAATAGTTTCTTTGTTAATTCTAACATCTATACTCTATATACTGCATTTTATGTAGTTAGAGTATGACAGACTATTAGGGAAACAAGTTGTAAATTGAATCTCCAAACTTTTATATATTATCATAATTTTGTTAACATTATTATTATTATTTTATCTTTTCTGTAAATATTACTATTACTATAAGACAATGTTTAAACAAAGAAATAGAAATGACAGAAAATGTACTGTCAATCGTCATAAACTTATAATCTTACAATCTCATTAGCAATAATTATATATAATATTTTAATGAATTAGTCAGACACAGAGTAAAGGCGGTACCTTGAATGAAGGCCTGCTCGAAAGGGTCTGTGATGCTGACCAGGTCCCCCCCCTGGTTCACACAGTCGGCCCGAGCCTCCGCCCACGTCCTGATGGACAGGTAGTTGAACAGGTAGCAGTAATCATTAAAGGGGTCGGACATCCAGGATCCACATTTCGTATTCCATCCTGTAACAAAAACAACAGAACATTAGCACAAATCAAGATAAACACACACATTGTCAGGCCATGCTAACTATGAAGTGTACCTGGTCCAGATGTCGGGGGCTGGGGAGGAGGGCCTTGTCCTTTAGCTATGAAGATACAAGACAGACATTTGACTTCAATATATCATCAGTAACACAACACAAGAGGCATGTGAATAAAAAAGGTTTAGTATGAAACCTTTTTTGCAGATGAATTCCTTGGTGGCGGTGCAGAAATCGTCGTTGAGTAACCCCGGTTCGTGGTGGTTCATCCCTCGGAGGTTCACACAGTCCTCGTTGTTCTGCCAGTCGTCCGGCTGGTTGGGCGCCCACGGGAGGAGGTTCTGAAGTCCAGAGGAAATCATTTTAGAGGAGCAACTTCAGTGTCACACATTTTCTATTCTTAGTCATTGAAAATAGATTAAACTAGGAATACATGATGAGTCGATAAAGAAAGTAATGGCCGTTACTGCAAGCAGACCTAAGAAGTTATCAACGTCTGAAGGACGAATTTGTGCTTAGGGATTGTGACTAATATGACAAAACAAAGGGATCAGAATAAAATAGTCAAGTTGTAAAAGCAAGTCTTTGCAAGTCATTAAAAAACGTCAAGGATTATTTCTTAACTTTGTCATAAAAAAGCAATTGGTGTGAAAAGGAGTTGAACGTCATTTGAGAAATTCATTTGAAAAATCTGTTATTTAAAAGACAGTAGATACTAAGGTATATCAACGATTTAAAAAACAAAATCATTCAAAGTAATAATAATTAGAGAATAAAAAAGATGATAAGCCAAATTTAATAGGTTTTAAAAGTATTGAGATCGAATATGAGTTCAATGCATTTAGTTTATAAATAAAGACATATAGAACTGTATCCTGCATTGTCAGTAGAGAATTGTATCCTGCTCTGTGCAGTTGTAAAACCAGATTGAAGTACTTTGTGTCAACATGTTTACAGTTATATGTATCACATAATGTGTTCCTGGCTCCATCACTTACGGCAGCAGTTCCATCAATCCACACAAACTGGTTCTCGTTGTTTATATCATTCAACCCCACCCAGGCTTCCCCTGGCATGTGAGCTGCAGGAAAAAGATGATTGACACTTTAAACAATAGACTTTCTTGATGGATTATGTCATGATGATTGCATGTGGTTTACAGGTGGTTTACCAGTGATGAAGCTCAGCTCCTCCAGGGAGTGGAAGCTGACCAGGTGACTCTGCTCTCCGCTGCAGTGAGCCTCGGCGTCGTGCCAGTTCTTCACCTGCTCAGTCTCAAACTGATAGCAGAAATCCTCATACAACAAATACCCAGCGTCACAGTGGGAATCTGGAGCAAAAGAATAAAGGTGAGAGTTATCAACACAGCTTCAGATACACCGTATGTGGAGAGGAAACAGGAAGTCCGACTGACCAGGAGCTGAAGTTGGTTTTGGATTCTGTCCACCCGTCATCTCACAAATGTAACCCAGGCTCTTGAAGCAGTTAGTTGTTTCCCATTTGCCCTCGTAATTTCCTGAAACAGGAGATTTAATCATGTCGGTGTTCATCAGCCTCAACTGAAAACATATGAAGTGTAAGTTCAGGGATGAGATGGTGGAGGGTATGTTCTACCTGTGAAGATCTGTCCACAGTCCCAGGTGCCAACAGTGTTTTTGGGCCAACCAGGGAGATAGTTGGAAAAAGTAATCGGGGATTTATCCACCCATTTAAAATCCCCATCCTGGTCCTTATCTGGTGACATCACAAACAAGACAATGAATGGAAAAGGGCATTTTCAAAAATCATTTATTGCAGAGAAGACATTTCTTTATTTCACATAAAAAGTACCTGATAAACCGATCCATAGGTCAGGGATCTCCACTTGGTGAAAGTCTGGGAGTTTCCCATTTATGTAGAACTGTTCATCTTGACTAGAAGAAAATGACACAGGTTACGTTTCCACTGTTCTCCCGCAGTCAGCTTTTTAGCCTCTTTTAGCTCTTATTGTTTTGGTTTTTCATCCCAGATCAGTCAGCTGTTTGAATAACAAGCTCTAATACACTTCTTAACGCTACATACCCAGTGATAAACTGCATTAAGAGAACGTTTTGTGGTGCACTCAGTGGAGCATTTAGCGGTTAAATAACAGATATTTCTCTCAGGAAAATAGTTGAATTGTTGTTAAACGAGGCCGCTATTAACCTCAGTTCATCAAGACTTTTCTCAGTCTTTGATTCTTCTGTCGCCATGTAAAAGAAATGCGAGATAAACAAAGTTTTCTTTATCAATTGAAGGCAATATGGGGTGAATAATTGTCATTTTGTGGTTGAAGTATTCCTTTAAATGTGTCATTCAAGACCATGCTGCAGGGCAGGTCATGTTGCATTGAAACCCATTAGTGTGTAGACCTGAGCCAGGATACTTTAACTGCTTATAGATTCAACTTTACTTTTGTAAGAGTCAGATTATGCTATTTCCTATTATAAAAGTCATATACTGAGGCTTCAACATCACCTACTTGTTAATAATGAGCAGGTGGGCCCCCAGATCGGAGCACTTGGTGACGGCGTCGTGCCAGGTGGTCAACAGATTGACATTACTGACCATCCAGTAACAACTGCCGGCGAAACTCTGCCAGCCAGGGGGGCAGATAGCTGGAGGGGAGTTTAGAGGAACAAGAAGAAATAGTTTAAAAGAAAAAAAGGAATTTCCTACTAATGAATGTATGCTTCTGATAATAAATCCATCTTACTGTTCAGTGGTCGTTTACACATGTAGGGACGCTCGTATCTGCACACATGGGCTCTCCACTTCCCAAACTCGTCGGATGCTTCTTTAATGATTGCAGAACACAAGCCGGCCTGTAAATCCCTGTTGGAGAACATGTGTTTTAACTTTGATTGCACAATATTTTTTAGTTAAATGACCCAAATAATGTTCTATCTTACCCTGAAGGTTGATCATCGCCCCAGTTTGTGTACCCCACTGGGAGAGCATCAGACCAGGCGTACTGACTGTTCCCGGCTTCAACCTGACAGGAAATCTTGGTGCATTTCTGGAGGAACAAAGCTCATCCTCAGTATTGCCCTTGATATTTGAAACTCAGAGGATGAGCAACATAGAAGGAAATGTAACTTCAGTTTGCATGGACTATTTTAAAGCAGATGTGAATCTCTGTAGTTGGCCTTAAACTTTACCAAATGATTGAACGGGCTGGATGAACATCTCTAGGTTTATGAAAATGTATGAAGAAATAATAATTCGACAGTATGAAGATGTCAGGTAACCTGTTTTGATGATGGTAGTATTGTTGTGTGTTTAAATTGTGTCCTTTGGTTTCATGTTATAAGCATTGGGTGTAAGCAGCTGTGACTGACAGAACATCTTTTTCATCAAACCATCAAAATGAGACTTTCTTCTCCCTGCTCCTTTCCATCATGGGCTATACAAACTGCTGAAAGTGTACATGTTTGCTTTTATAATAACTGCCATGAGTGGAATACTCGTTATACTTCAGAATACATAGCTGTCCTAATGCCACTGTGTTCCTCTCACCAGTGTGGAGAGCCCGATCCAGAGGTCAGCCCACGAGGGGTCCAGAGTTCCTGTGATGTACTGCTCCTCCTCTGCACTGATGATGGACACCAGGTCCCCCCCCTCCTGAACGCAGTCCCCCCTGGCCTCAGACCAGCTCTTCCTGGTTTCAGCCTTCAGCTTGTAGCAGTTGGAGCCGTACTGTCTCCAGCCATTTGCTAAGTCACACTGCGGGCCAGGATTCGCTGAAGAGCAGGAAAGAAAACATGCTTAAAATGTAGTTATTCCACCAATTTCAGCCCTTCATTGTAAGGGACGATGTTAAATATAATATATCAGATCAGAGTACATTTTGTTGAGAATAACATGAAAATAACAAGAATTGTTCCACTTGGACTTAAATGCTGTTGTGAAATAAAACTTACAATGGTGTACTTATCTGCAATTTACTTATTATGTTTTTTATTATTAAGAACCTGTGCATACATGGTCATTTTACATTTTTAAAATATGCAAGTCTATTCTCCTAGACTTTGAAGTACATTTTCATTTAATTACTGTACTTAAGAACAACTTTTAAGTACTTTAATTGAGTATTTCTAGTTTCTGATATTTCTTGTCTTTATTTGCAATTTCTACATCGTGTTGCTGGATTGCTTCTTTTCCTTAACTAAAATATCTGAGTATCTTGTAGAGGTGTCACTAGAAACAAAAGAAATGGCTCTGAAATGTATATGTATGAAGAGAGGAATAAGAGTTTTATCTCTACGGGTTCAACTCGTTTTAGATCTAACACAGTACAGACAGTGGACTTACGGTTGACGTGCTTGCAGATATATTTCCTCTTGATGTTGCAGTTCTCGTCGTTCCACTGGCCGTAGCTCTCCCCGGTCACCTGACCACAGTCCTCTCCGGGCTCATCGCCCCAGTTATCAGGCTGCCCGTCCATCCAGTATCTACAACAGGAGAGGAATCACTTATGATAAACTCAACTAAAATAAATGTAATGTAATGTAACACATACTTTTTGGGGGTATGAATGAGATGCATATTTGAATATTGGTATAACATACGATAAGTATGGTATGAAGGTGCTCCCATCGCTCCACTCAAACACGTTTTCTGAGACCTGGTCATTCAGGCCGAACCAGAAGATCTCTGTGCCGATCTGTGTCCTCACCCACAGCTAGACATTATAAATAAAAATACATTGAGAATTATGTATTTTATTTCAAACAAAACATAAGTATAAAACATAAATAAATAGGTTACATATCCCAAATTCTCATTAGCAATTTAAACAATGTCAATACATTTAAATGAAGGTACAGGAGTAGAAAGAAGTATTTTCTTATACATGATCCTATTCTTTTTCCACAACTGAAACAATGAACTGAACATTTATCATCTATCAACTCAAACCACATGCTATGATGTCAAACTCAAATATCCACACAGTGTCTTCCTCTCAATACCTCCTTAAAATAAAAGTTCTGACCATCTTTTTGAAACAATTTATATTTAGACTTTTGAAAAAGCATATCACAGATTCAACCTAAACATTGAAATACACATAGTCCCAAAGTGTAACAAGCACCATTTTTTGTTTAATTCCAATTTATTCTTAAATTACAAATCCCTCTGTCTAAAAAAAATGTCATATACATCCCAGAAGTAAATACATTGTTTTGTTTCTAGTGCAATGTGCTGTTGTACATGATTCCCTACAGTGTGTAAGGCTTTATGATCCAGGACTGAATCACTTTTTTCACACATTGGGTTTCCAACTGATTCTGCTGGCTAATCACCTTCAATTACTTTTTCATATACTCTTTCCAGCATCATCTTTGTTGTGTTTAAATTGTGTTATATTGTTGTCAAAAAACTTTTACATTTACAATTTTCAATTCCATAATCATCTCCAAAATCTGATGCAAATTGTTTACCAGAAGAATACATGAGTAGAGCCGTCTGCAGAGAACATTACATAACGTGTGTGTGTGTGTGTGTGTGTGTGTGTGTGTGTGTGTGTGTGTGTGTGTGTGTGTGTGTGTGTGTGTGTGTGTGTGTGTGTGTGTGTGTGTGTGTGTGTGTGTGTGTGTGTGTGTGTGTGTGTTTGTGTGTGTCTCTCTCACCCTCTCATGAATGTCCTGGACACTCATCAGGTTGCTGTTCTGAGTGATACAAAAGGCGTTAGCCTCCATCCATGTCTTTACATCAGTTGAAAAGAAGTAACATCTATCTTCATTCTCCCTCCAGCCCTGCGGACACTGGCAATGAGCTGAAACACAACAAAACAAAACAGTGTTACTGCGCACTATGACAACAAATGGAATAAATGGAATAGAAATAATATATTATGAAGAGCACCACAGCACAGGTAATCAAGTTAACACTACCTTACCACCATGCCTCTCAATAAAGCACTACGATGCAAATAAATGGTGAAATAAGTACATGCTAAAACATCTGATCATAATTTTAGAATGCTTCAAATGGGATTGTTTTGTCTTTTATGTTCTGATGTGATGCATCATTATAGAGATCACAAGCAACATCTCTCAGTCAGCAAGAATGGTAGAATAAAAAATAACGTGATTACTTTGAATGGGTGACAAGTCAAAGAAAGTTTCCCAGTTGATGTGAAACTTCACAAGCTGCTGAATCATTTAAATACCCATTTAATAATAAAAGTCCCATGACAGATCCACAGTCCAGCCATGCAGTCAGTTCTCATACAAAACTCTGGGTAATGTTTGACTTTAACGACTTCAACAACAAGACCCTATAGAATCACATGCTTTGCACACATCCTTATTGAGTTGATAGAGCAAAAGAAACTTGAACCGCCACAACACTGACTCTCTCTGACCGCTGCACGACCTTGTGGGGCGTCAGTAACATCAGACAGCCATTACACTAGTCAGTTCGATGGATGCATAACAAATGAAAAAATGCTACAATCCCGTACATTTAAATATTGTTTTAAGTTTAAACATTCTTCTGCTTAAAACAAATGCTAGCGTAACATTTAGCAGTAAATGTGTGCCCTTGAGTAAGGCACTTAGTCCTTAGTTACTCCAGGGAGAATGTCCCTGTAATTGGTAATTGTAAGTCGCTTTGGATAAAAGCGACAGCTAAATGAAAATGTAATGTAATGTAAAGTATAGCAGTGTTTTGAGGTATTTCCCCCACATTTCACCAGAGAAGCAGTTCATGATGGAAAGTAGTAGTACCATTCAAGATTGGTTGAAAATTGGTTTAAAGAAAATTATTATTAAGGTTAGAAGTCTCTAAGTAGAAGTACAACACGTGTTTTTGTTTTGTTGTTCTAAGTTTTATCTTTTTTTTCTACGCATGAGTATTACTTTTATGCCAAACATTTTTTTTCAACAAGTTTCTGGATTATTCTTTCTCCCTCCCGTCTTGAGTTAGGCACTTTTGATAAAAAAAAAATATATAAACATTACAAAGAATACATGATGTCCTTAACAGTTGCCACACAACACATATTAAAAGCACTACTTTTTGTTCACATCACACTTGGTTCTTGTTGATCCAAGTATTTCAAAACTCAAATCTGTGCTCTTATGTGACTTTTCTAATAATGTAACCAAAAACAGACTTACCGCAAGCGAGAAGAGCAGCAGCGCTGAGCAGCTGCAGCAGCATTTTCATTTCTGTGTTCACTTCTCAAGATGTGTTTCTACACATACTAACAACTTCAAGTTTCTTTTCAAACCCCTCTGAACAGTCTGTGATGTGCTCCCTCTCCCAGTGTGCAGACCTCTGAGCATCCTCTCTTTGGTTCCCCTCTTTTCAGCATCCAGCCGGGTCCAAAGACTGAAAGCAGTAAAACACAGATGACAGACACTTGACCTCCTTACTCATTTTCTACGTTACAACCCACAGCAGTTTGACAACAAATACTGTACATTTGAATTGGTATGTTGGAAATGTTGATTCCATTATGTGCAATAAGAATAAAACATTTTTATTTTATTTAACAAAAAGTAGCTTTTGCTAACAATAAAAACACATATTGGACATTTTCTTAAAGTTGAAAGTAATTTTATTTTGGATGTAACTTCTTGCTGAATTAATTTTAAGGTAACAAAATCCTGACTTACTGCACTTACCTAATCAAGGTCAAAGGCCGGACATATATCTATTTAAAGCATTTTTCTTTTTGTGCAATTTCACTCTTTGTACTAAATAATTGTTATTGAAATAGTAGAAATTCTGTGAGCTGTGTGCAGGGCCAGAACTTAGGTCATATTACATAGTACAACATAACAATAATAATGAAAATACAAACAAACAGAGGGTAATATAATTTGTCTCTTGAACGTCACAAATGTATGTAAACAAATGATTGTATGTAAAAAGTGTGCCCCTCACATTTGACCCAGTGACCCAAGTCCACAAGAGACTTTATAACAACCACATGTCAACTAATAAAGGTTATACTGCCACACCTCTGCCTTCTCCAACCTGTTGTTACAAAACGATAAAAGGCTCATTTGATATCAGATTCTCACATGTTGTATTGCTCAGCAGACACGGCATCAGGAGCTTTCCCCAAACCTACGTTTCAGAAGATAATTATTTTATGAATCTCATTGAGAAAAAAATGCACACCCGACAGTTTCAGGTGCTCTTTAGTGTAAAGCAGTGTGAGGAGTGACGGGTCATTTAGTGACGATTGGTTTTTTTTGTACCAGTTTTCTGAGAGTCAAAATGGACAAATACAGAAGAAAAAGAGGATTCCCAATAATAATCTTTACACATAACTTTATTTTCCCAATGTACCAATACCATGTGAATAAAAAGAACAATATGGAAGTAGTGAAGAAGAGGAGGAGGAACACAAAGTACAGTAAAGTTTACAAAAAAACGTACAAAAGGAGATTCTGGCTCATTTGCTAACAAAGTTGGCATCAAGTTTTTGTTTTAAGTTTGGTGTAAAAACAATGTGTGTTTATAATATGCACCAAAAATGATTACCGGCAGGACACAACCTGTGCAATAACAGCTGTTTCTAATCAATTGTATATAGCACTTCTGTAAAAGCCATCACTGTCAAACTATTCTGAAAAAAACAAACTGTTGCCAGAAATGATTAATTTTTCCATAGATATATAGAATAGAAATCGAGTGTTAAATAAACATAACAAACTTATAACATGAATAACGTGAAATTCTCCATTTAGGACAAAAATATACTCAGACCTCACATCTATTCTAGGAAAATAGTGCACAGCAATGGATTAGATAAGAGTGTAGTAAAGGATAATACCAAAGATACACCTATTTTTATTATTATACAAAATGTCCATATATTAAAATATAGCGCAACCGTCTGTAAACCTCAGCTGCCTCTCACACATCTGAAAGCACTCTGATTAGGATTTCTGACAGTCCAGCTATCGTCAAACACAAATCTTCTCTCTGTACAATAATGTAAAACTGGAAAAGAAGTGTAGAGGCGCACCGTATTGCTCTGATCAGTCCCCGACTCTCAGCCAGTCACACCTCCTCTACTCTGAGGGAGAGGTTAAGGAGTTCCACTCGGGGTTCAGCAGGCGTTCAACCAGGTTTGCATCGACAGCGTCCTGGAACGCACGTTTTTGTGCTTGGCGTTTGCAGCGGTGAATTCGTCGGACCCGTCGCCTCACACACACCTGATTGGGTCGGTCAGTGATTGCTCAAACACATGAACAGGCAGCTACATCTGCTGCAGTGTGGTCCAGCTGGCTGCTGCCGATGGATTCATTCTGCACTTTTAAACAGTCTTACTGATTAGCATAAGATCTCAGGAATCTTGGAAATGTTATCGACATCTTATCATCATATTTCAGACTGGTGCACACGCTGCACACGCTGCACACGCTGCACACGCTGCATTGCAAAAGTGAATCCAGTTTGATGATTTTTCTTTTGTTAAATCACTTATCTGCCACATATCTGTGTATAATGAAAACAACTGTAAACTAAAAGAAGAAATGCGTCCATACTGGCTTTTATACAGTCCACATTCACAATGTGCAGTTAAACCAAATCCCCCAAAAAATAACCTTTCATTCTCGAGATGTTAGCATTAAATACTGAATAGTTACAGTTACTATGTTCCCTTAAAAAAACGATGTAAAAGGCAGTCAAACAAATTAAATACAGTACAAAATACTACATCACTGATTGCAAATAACACCAGCAGGAGTCAAGAAAAACCCCTCAGATTTGTCAGATGTGCACTTCAAGTCAGTCCCTAACATTCCTCCATCACTGTGTGCAAACTGAACGTCTTCCCAAAACAGTTTGAGGCTGGCGTTCAGGGACAGTGACGCAGTGATGTCACTCCGTCACTGTGTGTGTGCTTTGTGTTGTGTGCTTGTGCGGTGGTCAGATCTGAAGGAGGCCTGGCAGTCAGTCACCTGGTGGTCAGTGGGGGGGGGGGGGGGGTCACATGCAGTTGGCCACGTTGCTGGAGCCCTGGCCGACGTCTCTGATCTGACTGACGTGAGACGAGCACACCGCCACCCCCGCCCCGGCCCGGCAGTGAGACACGGAGCCCACCAGCTCCCACCTGGACAGAAACAGAGCCACAGTCATCAGAAGACGTGCCGACAGTCCTGACATTAAAGAGGCGTTCTTTAATCTAGCTGGATTATTGTGGCAAACAAAAGTTCATTATACTGTTTTTCAGGCTAGAATACCACGACGTGTCATCCCATTTGAATGCTCAGGTGACATCATTCAGGAGACTTAGCACATCTTTCACCTCAAATATCTGCTTGGTGGCCTTAACATTGTTCTGATGTGTAGTATGCCTATATCAGGGTTTGTGTTATTTGTTTGTATTTTCAGTTGTTTGTGTCTGAATGTAAAGCCATGAATTACATTTTAATTGTCGTTGTTTGTGTTTTCTTTTCATGCACTGGTCTCCCTCAGCTATTGTATTATCTAGGTTATTATGCAGGGTGATGCTAACCTTGGCTGACGGGGCACCTACAGTTGATTCTGATTGGTTATTGGAGATGATTGATGACACCAAATCGATATATTATCTTCTATAATTTAGGAAATAGCATCTCCTCCTCACCTGTTCATTCGAGGCTCAAAGGCCTCCACTGTGTTCAGGTAGATGTTCCCGTTATGCCCCCCGACTGCGAACACTCTTCCCATCACAGTGGCGACCCCGACCCCCCCCCGCGGGGTGGTCAGCTCGGACACGTACTCCCAGCGGTGCATTCGTGGGTCGAAACGCTCGACAGAACTCAGCGGTGAATTGTCATCGAAACCGCCTTCAGGAAATACGAGGAAGACAATTATTAAAAATCGGAATACTTTTGTGAAAAAGCTCAAATGTATGGTTTTAAATCACACGAAAAAAATAACAAAGTGGCAAACAAAACGTTTAGGTGTAACAACGATGATGTTGTTGTTTATAGTGCAGGCACAGGATAAGATGATTTCGGCTACTGTCCAGGCACGATGCCTCAACAGATGTTTTAATGGACCTTGAATAACTCTTCAAACTCCAGTGGTACAATAAAAAATCAAATCCTCACACTCTGTTAATGAGTCTCCAGCTGGCTTTACAAAACATGAACTTTTGCCTCCCTGATTCACGCATTTGTGTATATAATTGTAGGGTGTGTATCTAGGAGGCATGTGACTTTGGTTTATAGAAAAGCAGTGAGTCCAGTCACAGCAGTTCAAGCAGATGTAGACAGAATACATCTGGAACTACAGTGTGTGGTAACAACGATATCTGGCTAGTGATCAGTTCTGCTTTTGTTACGGGCATCTGGAGTTCATCTTTATTTATTCTTCTCACCCACTACGTAGAGGCAGCCGTTCAGCTTGCTGACTCCGTTTCCCGCCCGCCGTTGGCCCATCTCGCTGACCTCCGTCCACTTGTTGAGGTGGGGGTTGAACCGCTCCACGCTGGACAGTGACGCCACGCCATCGTTGCCTCCCACTGCGTACATGAAACTCTGGCACAAGATGGAAATATGAGTGTTAGTACAGACATTACAACTTTTGACTTTTCAAGGACAGTCAAGCCGAGGGTCAGTATGCACGATAAGCTGCGCACATATAAACACACGTATATGTTCTCTGACAGACAACACTGAGGGCACAGAATCTCACAATGAATGTTTCTCAAGCCATCACGGGACACATGGCAGGGTATTCTGCCGTAGTAATGAAAACGCCTCTTTACTTTGTAAAGGTCCAAGAGTGAGTGCTTGTAAAGTGCTACTTAATGAACAAAACTTTGGTCAACATATAAGATACAGTTATTAGGTTCATTTGAATTCCACGGACCTTATTCTTTTCGTCACAACTCACTCGCACCTTTTGCAAACCCTTTATAAAGCAGTAAAGTCCAGAGGAGAGATTCTCTTCTTCTTTGCGGTCTTACCCCCAACGCCACGGATCCCACTCCTCCTCTGGGCGTGTTCATCGGAGCCACAGCGCTCCAGCAGTCGCCCTCGATGTCGTAACGCTCCACATCGTTGAAGCAGGAGTTGTCGTCCAGACCTCCGATAGCGTAGATAGGACCACCGAGCGCTGCCAGGGCTATACCCCTCCTGAGAAACACACCTGACCTTGCTCAAAGCTGTATTTCTGCTTTTTACCCAAATACTCTTAGTACACTAAATGCAGTTGGAAAAAGGGACATTTTCGGAGTCAACAGGATGAGAACAAATAGGATTTAGAGATCGACAGGAGGGTTTTGAAGAGGTCAAGCTGTGAGTGTAAAGAAAAGTACAAATTCTAGGCTTTATGTATTTAAATATATTA